CCTGGCTGACATGGCAGCCATAACACAGCCTCTCTCCTGGCTGATGCAGCAGCCCTAACAGTAGCCACAATATAACCATAACATAGCCCTAACGGCTAAGGGGCTTCCCCTGTAGCTCAATCGGTAAAGAATCTGCCTGCAATGCAGGAGACCTGGGTTTGATTCCTGGGTCGGGAAGATCTCCTGGAGAAGGAAATGGCAACCCACTCCAGTATTCTTGCCTGGAGAATCCCATGGACAGAGGAACCTGGCAAGCTACAGTCTATGGGGTTGCAAGAGTCGGACACGACTTAGCAACTAAGCAGAGCCATAGTGGAGCTCTAACATAACCTCATATAACAATCATGGTGTCACTCCAATGTAGCCCCAGTGTAGCAGCAGCCAGGGCCCCAGGGGTCCCACACAAAGTAACCCAAGTCGAAACAAGTGCCTGGTGACACACACGCGCAGTCCTGTAAGTGATCTCCGCTGTTACATAAACCTCATGACGTCCATGCGCAGCGCTACCAGTGAGCTCAGCTCCTACACAATCATTATTTACCAAATACGGGGCAAGAGCGAGAGGCCATGGGGCAAGAGAGCCTGACCGTGCCATCTTGGCTAATCTGCTTTTTTCCTACAGTGGACTTTCTGCAATGTTTTAAAAGATTGACATCCATGGCAGTCCTGATACCACTCATTCTTTCTTCCAACCCACGTCATGAAGGAGTTTCCAGAAATTTTAAAGATCTTGCAATTCAGGAAGTAAAGACCAAGTGTTTTTACTTGCAAGCGTTTTTATTAGGATGACACATTGGAAAGATATCTATATCCTGCTTTTGTGAAGGGATGAAGCACTCCATTGGGCTTAAAGAAAATCAGGTTGCCATGAAGTGTGAACCCTCCCACCACTGACATCCCTGCCTACAGGAGGTACTGTCTTGGGAGGGGTTTCCTGACAGCAACCCAGAAAAGCACCAAGTTGTTTGGGGGTAGATGCTAGTAAGGTACACACAGACTCACAACAAACTGTGATTAACACACATAATACTGATCTTTTATCACAGTCCAGGAAGTTGGAAGCAAGCATGTATTTCATCTATGTATTGGAGCTTCCAAGTCTTCAGCCCTGCTCCCTCTCTGCAGTTCCTGCTTTGAGGTCATCAGAGACCCTCTCCCCTATCACTCTAGACAGCAGCTTTTTGGTTCACGTACTCTCTCACCTAGGAGAAAAACCTGAGACCTAAACATGATCCTTGATCAGTTTGACCTAACATCTCTGCTTTCAAAATTGCCTCCCAGACTCAGCCACCTCTTACTAGTTCATCAAGCACTGGCATCACTGTTCATCCTCTCACCTGGACCACATACTTATTCTGCCCATTCCCACTTTGGGCCTGCTGCAATTCGTTTTTCTACAGAACATAAATCTCATCTGATCTCTCCCTGCTGAAAAGTATACAATAGATTCTCAATGCCCTTAGAATAAGATCTAAACTCTTCAGAACAACCGACAAAATCCTTCCCAGCCTGTACCTACCTACCTCGTTACCGCGGATCTCAACCTTTCCCTTTCTCTACACTCCAGCCACCTGGCAAAGACCATCCCTGACCCCCTAATCACAGCGGGTACCACCTAATTACAGCAGGTGCACTCCCTGAACTAACTCCCAATCACTGTCTGTCACATGACTCTGTTTTACGTACTTCAGGTACTTGTCACTGTCTGCAGTTCTTATTTATTCACCTGTTTACATTTGTGTTATCTGTATCCTCCACTAGAATGAACACCATGACAAAAAGAACCTTAGCTGACCTGGCTATATCTATATGCTTAGCACCTAACATGGTGCTAGATGTTTCACTGAAGGAATTATTAAATGAAAAAAAATGAATGACTACAATTTATAATTATATAAAAGTTAATTCCACAGAATACTAATTTTATTAATAAGTGTGAAGTACTACTGTTAGATGAGCCATCATTTGCTAGCTCTATGCTTTAAATTATTATTTAATATCCCCCACTCTGTTTTAACATCTGAAAAATGGGTCTAGTGATTGTCTTGACCTCATCAGGGTGTAAGAAATAATGAAGAAGATGTGCATAAAATACTATTCTTGGCACATGGCATAAAACACTATGGCACATGGCATAAAACACTATGGCACATGGCATAAAACACTATTCTTGGCACATGGTATATATTCAATAAATGCTAACTATTAGTGGAGGGTAAGATTAGAATGTTCTAGTTAATTCTAAAAAGAAGAACATTTGCTTTATTGTGGAAAATGGTATGCTCCTCCCCAAATAGTGGGCTTTAGAAAACTGATGTGAGGAGGAATCCCAGATATATCCCCTTTTCTCTGTTCTTACCAATTATGATACCCTCTAAGACAGAAATCATGCCCTCCTCATCACTCCTTCAGGGTATTCAAGTAGCTCCCAGCCATTGTTCCTGCCTTCAAATAGTCTCCTTTCTACAGCATAGTATCTTGGTTCTAAAATCTTACGGTCTCAAGAACTTAAATAACCTGGTCCCATCCTCCCACTGTTCTTAAACCCAACTAACCTTGAGGGCATTCTTCACTCTCGTTAGAACAACACGCCCACAGTGAGAGGGAACATGGCATAGTAATTAAGAGCAGGGCAATTAGAGCCAGATTGCTTGGCTTCAGATGCCAGCTCCTTCACGTAAGTGAAGCTCACTTACTAGTTACTTAGCCTCTCCATGCCCTGGATTCCTCATCTGCAAATGGCAAGGAGAGAACACTGCATCTGTCATAAGCTTTGGTGAGAATCATAGAGTACGTGTAAAGCACAAAGCTTGACACGTAGCAATGATGATGATGATGATGATATTAAGCCTCCACCAGAAACTACTCATCTTCCTAAAACACAAATCCGATCATGCCACATACATGTTCAAAAACTTTTAATGTCCATTGTCAACAAGATGAAATTAAGAATCCTAAATTTAGGACACTTAAGCACAGTGCAAATTCTTCCTACTGTGGTGATAAGCCACGTTTGCAACTTCATATTTCATTATTCTCCTCCAGTGCTTCCCTAGAGGAGATTCAAAATCTGTGCTTTAACCAACTGACACTTTTTGCCATCCCCAGAAAACACCGTGGCATTTTGTTTCTCTGCTTTACTTGCTGAAATTCCCTTCCTATTCCCTTTTACTTATGAAGTTCCTGTTCATCCTTCAAGACCCACATAAATGTTCCATTTTCACCAAATGCTCCCCAAATCTTCCAGGGAAAGGCAGGGGCTCCAACCTCTAAACTCCCACATCTTATCTAGAAAACCTGGATGCACAACTTGTATTGTCTGTCATTTGTCAGCTTACTTCTCTGTGACCTCTTCTATGGCCTCCTCAATGGCAGGAAAATATTTGCATCTTTTTTGCATAATCCCTGACTTACAGCAGTTTACAGCTCAAGCAATGAGTATTTGACTGATACCTACTGAAGTGATGTGGACAGCAAACAATTCTAGCAGAGTGATCCAAAATCATAAAATCATTCTAGTAAGAAGATGGCTAAAATAAAAGCAGTTTTCATGTTGAGCATCTTTTGGATCCTTCATTGTATTAATCTACATCTCTTTAAGCTTCTGACTCCTCTATATTGTACAATTTTCTGCTTCATTTTAGAGGCTGAGTCATTTTGTTTGAAGATAAGTCAAGAAAATATATTTTTAAAAAGATTTCAAAGGAAAATATTTCTAAAGATTTACCACTTTAATATTTTTCCTCCTTTAAAGGAAGGCTAAAATATCATACTAAGTTTCATGCCTTCACTTATTTAAATAATTTTATTTTTAAGATTCTAGTGATTTAAATGTAACTGAGGGATCTCCCCATGTGTACTCCATAGAACACTAATCTATGAAAACAAATAAAAATGATTCTATGGTCAAATAAGTTTGGAGAAAAATACATGGCTATATCTCTTTATTGAAAAGTCATGGGACTTCCCTGGTGGTCCAGTGGTAAAGACTCTGCCCTCCTATGCAGGGGGCCTTGGCTCGATCTCTAGTCAGGAAACTAGATCCCATGTGCCACAACTAAAACCTGGCACAGCCAAATAAACTTAAATAAAAGAAAGGAGGAAAAGTCATAAAAACACTTTAGCATATTAAAGGCTCTGAAAGGTCAACCAGCAAAGAATTCAGTATTTCCCAAACTTATTTACCAGAGAACCCTTTAGTGTTCTTTGAAACAAGTGTTCATGAAATTCATTTTAGGAACTACTGCACCATTTAGCGTCTAAATAGCCCAATACAACTAGTTTGAGGGCCATAAATAATATTAATTCATAACATGTTTGGATGAAATTTTAAAGGGCCTCCGTCACTGTCACTCACGCAGATCTGAACTCTCACCTGCATGCCCCGACACGTTTTCATTCAAAGCACAAATGAAGGGAATGAAGGGCAAATAATTTGTTACAGTTCTGTTAAAAAAAAAAGGGCTCCTTAATACAGAACTAGAATCTCTTTCCCTGTTGATTCCATCTGTTCACACAGTCTTTTGGAGCCATGTGAAATCTTAAAATAGTATCACTTTTTCAGCCAGAGGGCTTAATCATCATAAAGAATCTTTGGTTTCCGGTAGAACAGCAATTGAAAAACTTAGCTCTCTCTTCATCTGAAAAGTAGACAAGAAAATGTGAAAACAATCTGCAGATACCTAGCATGCCAGGTCATTATTAGTGATGTATAATGATTGGAAGATAATAATTCCGTACCTTTGAAGACTGAAATGAAATGTCCATGCAGTGACAAATAGCCAATGTAAAGAACCCTAATTTGACAACAAAACAATCTAAACCCCTTTTATGAGGTGAGGAGTATGTCTTAAGCAATAAACACTTAAGTAATTAGATGCTTTTATGGAGATAACTATAAACTGAAACATGGGGGAAAAATCTCGGTAATAGGCTGACGCCCTGGGAGGTGGGTATATAAGAGCCAGGGGAGAAGACAGAAGCATCGAGACACCAAGAGACTTCTCTCATCAACCCAACAAAAACCCAACTCCTGACACCATGGCTTGCTGTGCTCCCGTCTGCTGCAGCGTCCCCACCGGCCCCGCCACCACCATCTGCTCCTCTGACAAATTCTGCAGGTGTGGAGTCTGCCTGCCCAGCACCTGCCCACACGAGATCAGCCTCCTCCAGCCCACCTGCTGTGACAACTGCCCCCCACCGTGCTGTGTGCCTGACACCTACGTGCCAACCTGCTGGCTGCTCAACTCTTCCCACCCCACTCCCGGACTGAGCGGGATCAACCTGACCACCTTCGTCCAGCCTGGCTGTGAAAATCCCTGCGAGCCCTGCTGTTAAGCGGCCACATCTTTGCTCAGGTTCAGTGATGTGTTGCTCAAGTCTAAATGCATCATCTGGCCTTCAACACTCACTACTGCCTTCATCAAACAAAACCAATCCCAATAGCCTGGGCAGTATTTTCATGCATTTGCCCAACTTCTTGATTCTTTCTTCTTGCGGATAGAGTTGGAGACCTTCTTTCTGTCTTTTAGATTATATCACTGTCCTTTGGAAATGAACCATTTTGACTATTCAATAATAAACTTCATTCTTGCCTAGCAAATACGGTTTTGTGATTATTTGTTCATATGTTTCTTCTTAGGGAAAGTGAAATGCCTACCTAAACTAGAACAGCGGCTCATCATACTGCCCAAGATTTACCCCAGCAGAATGAGAGCTCTCATGGTGGAATCATTGAAAAATTAGACACTGCTTCTTTGTGATGAGCTGAGAAGTGAAAAATTCAACAGGTTATTTTTTAGGATTCCCACCCTCTTTAAAAACTCAGATATACTTGTTTTGCAATATTATATGAGTTTTAAGTGTGCAACATAGTGACTCACAATTTTTATAAGTTACACTTCACTTACAGTTATGATAAAATATTGGCTATATTTCCTGTGCTGTACAATATAGTCTTGTACCTTATTTATTTTATACATAATACTTGGTACACAGAACTATACAAAAAAGTTCTTAATGACCCAGATAACCACAAACATGTGGTCACTCAGCTAGAGCCAGACATCCTGGAGTGTGAAGTCAAGTGGGCCTTAGGAAGCATTACTGCAAACAAAGCTAGTGGAGGTAATGAAACTGCAGCTGAGCTATTTCAAATCGTAAAGGATGATGCTGTTTAAATGCTGCACTCAATATGTCAACAAATTTGGAAAACTCAGCAGTGGCCCCGGGACTGGAAAAGATCAGTTTTCATCCCAATCCCAAAAAACAGCAATGCCAATGAATGTTCAAATTGTCATACAATTAGGCTCATTTCGCATGCTAGTAAGGTTATGCTCAAAATTCTTCAAGCTAAGCTTCAGTAGTATTTGAACCAAGAACTTCCAGATGTACGAGTTTGGTTTTAAAAAGGCAGAAGAACCAGAGATCAAATTGCCAATATTTTTTGGATCATAGAGAAAGCAAGAGAATTCCAGAAAAACATCTACTTTTGCTTCACTGACTACATAAAAGCCTTTGACTATGTGGATCACAACAAACTGTGGGATATTCTTAAAGAGATAGGAATACCAGACCACCTTACCTATTTCCTAAGAAACCTATATGTGAGTCAAGAAGCAACATTAGAAACTTACATGGAACAACTGACTGGTTTAAAATTGGGAAAGGAGTACAACAAGGCTGTATATTGTCACCCTGTTTATTTAACTTCTATGCAGAGTACATCATGTGAAATGCCAGATTGGATGAATTACAAGCTGGAATCAGTTGCCTGGAGAAATATCAACAACCTCAGATAGGCAGATGATACCACTCTAATGACAGAAAGTGAAGAGGAGCTAAAGAGCCTCTTGTTGAGGGTAAAAGAAAAGAGTGAAAAAAAAACTGGCTTAAAACTCAACACTCTAAGATCATGGCATCCAGTCCCATCACTTCAGGTCAAATAGAAGGGGAAAAAGTGTCAGCAGTGACAGATTTTATTTTCTTGGGCTCCAAAACCACTCTGATAGTAACTATAGCCATGAAATTAAAAGACACTTGCTTTTTGGAAAGAAAATTGTGAGAAAACCAGACAGCATATTAAAAAACAAAGACATCACTTTGCTGACAAAGACTTGCATCGTCAAAGCTGTGGTTTTTCCAATAGTCATGTACAGATTTGAGCGTTGAACATAAAAAAGGCTGAGTGCTGAAGAACTGATGCTTTCAAATGATGGTGCTGGAGAAGACTCTTGAGAGTCCCTTGGACTGAAAGGAGATCAAACCAGTCAACCCTAAAGAAAATCAACATTGAATATCATTATAAGGACGGGCAATGAATTTACAAAACTTTGGCCACCTTATATGAAGAGCAGACTCATTAGAAAAGACCCTGATGCTGGGTAAGATGGAGAGCTAAAGGAGAAAGAGGTGGCAGAGGATGAGATGGTTAGATATCATCACTGACCTAATGGACGTGAATCTGAGCAAACTCTGGGAGATAGTGAAGGACAGGGAAGCCTGGTGTGCTGTGTCCACGGGGTCCCAAAGAGTCAAACTCAACTTAGCAACTGAACAACAATAAGCTTATTTATTTTATACAGAGTAGTTTGTACCTCAGCCTCCTGCCCTATCTTTTTCCTTTCCACTTCCCTCTCATTGGTGACCACTAGCTTATTCTCGTTATCTGTGAATCTGTTTCTTTTTTTGTTATATCCACCAGTTTATTTTTTAGATTCCACATGTAAGTGATATCAAACAGTATTTGACATTCTCTGACTTATTTCACTAAGTATATTATACTCCAAGTCCATCTGTTGTTGCAAATGGCAAGATTTCATTCTTTTTTATAGTTGAGTAGTATTTCATTGTTTCCATATATACCATATCTTCTTTATCCATTCATCTGTTGATGGACACTAAGCTTCTTCCATATCTTGGCTATTGTAAATAATGCTCCTATGAACATTGTGGTGCATTTTTTTTCAAATTAATGTTTTCATTTTCTTTGGATATATATCCAGGAGTAGAATTGGTGGGTTATATGGTAGTTCTATTTTTAGTTTTGGGGGGAACCTTCATATTGTTTTCCTGAGTGGCTGCATCAATTTACATTCCCACCAACATTGAACAAGGGAGGGTTCCCGTTTCTTCAGATCTTTGCCAGAAGTTTTATGTTTTCTGGTCTTTCATTTAGGTATCTAATCCATTTTGAGTTTATCTTTTTAAATATAGTGTTGGAGAATGTTCTATTAATAATATTACCTGTCCAGCTTTCTTTGCACCATTTACTGAAGAGACTGTCTTTTCTCCACTGTGTATTCTTGCCTCCTTTGTTGTAGATTAATTGACCATAAATGTGTGGATTTATTTCTGGGCTCTCTATTCTATTCTGTTGACCTCTGTGCCTGTTTTTCTACCAGTACTATACTGTTTTGATTACTGTTGCTTTGTAATATGTTCTGAATTTTAGGCTTTATTACAAGATAACCACTGGCACTATGCCAACCCACCTCTTTTTCAGTCAAAAACAAAGGAGATTGATGTTTTCATACATGCTTATAAGGGATAAATATTTAGGTTTTATTTTTAATATCAAAAATAACTCTGAGTCCTTTTATTACCACTGTGGGCCTTTAAGCATTAAAGGGCCCTTGGCGAGCTAAAAAGCCTCAAATGTAAAGCAGGTGATTTGTGTTCCAGTTCTGGCTCTGTCTCAAGCTGCTTCTGTAACCCTGATCAAGTCACTTGAACCCTTTGGGTCTCAGGTCCTCCATCAGTAAAATGGGTTGGTTGACCAAGTCCTCTCTAAAATCACTTTCAGCTTGAACATTCCTTGATTCTAGATTATCTAGAAACATTTTAAGTAACAAATACTCCATGCTGCTAATCAACCCTATCTTACTGTATTACTTTTACCTCTTTCAGTCATAATAGCTAATGTTTGGTAAGTATATCCTGCACACTCTAATGTGTGCTGTACGTGCCTTATCCCATTTATCCCTAACAAAAAAACCTAACAGGTAGCTACCATTATTCTCCCCACTATATAGGTGAGAAAACTGAGATGGAGAAATTACTTGCAAAAGCTACATAAATAGTGACAGAGGAGCTATCTGAATTCAGAGTCCTTCCTCTTCCCACTATACCAAAGCATCTGCCTCCTCTGCAGACAACAACATGCCCAAGAGAAATACAATTGCATACAGCTTTCTTTGTCCAGGAGAAAGTATATGCTACTTGACAATACATGCTCTACTTGACAACACATGCTTGTAGATTGTCTATTTGGTTGTATATGGCAACAGTTATCTCTGTGGTTGTTATAGCTTAAGACAAAATGAGTATACACAATGAGTCTAGGAAAAACTGTTTATGTTTCTAAGATGAAAATAAATCATGTTTTTTTAAGTCAGACTTTAAATACTGATGAGCAACATCAGCACACGAAAAATACTGACTGGTTCATTAATCTTGAATTAAAATGTAGAATGTTTGGCAACTCAGATGGATTTTCAATTTTCTGGTGAGTTTCAGTGACTTAGTTTAAGATAAAACAAACTACCCTTAAAGATCGTTTACCCTTGAGAATAGAATAGAAAATCAAATCATTTCATTTACTTTCAAAGATCTGGCCTCCAGGTCTTTCTTTCTATCTTTATGGATGGACTCTAGCCTAATTTAGACTCTGATCACCACACTTAAGATCACAGCCAGTCTCCTCATTGACCTTGAGTCAAGTATCGCATGCTTCTTCCTCCACACAAACTATAATTTTGTCAGAATAGATTTCTATTTCTCTATAAATACTGGGGTAAATTGAGTTACTCATAACTCTTAGATGACTCAAGATTTTTGTTTTTTAATAAGTCAAGTCTAAGTTCTGCAGTGTGACTCTAAGACCCTCAATAATCTGGTACAACCATTTTCATCGAATACTAGTTGCTACTTGTCTTGGGCAACATGAATCCTGTACTCTATCCAGAGCAATGCTCCCTCTTCAGTGGTCGAGAGAGAGGTCTCTGAAACCAGACTGTCTTGCTCTAAATGGTACCTCTTGGGCTTCCCTGGTGGCTCAGATGGTAAAGAATCCACTGCAATGCAGGAGACCTGGGTTTGATCCCTGGGTTGGGAAGATCCCCTGGAGGAGGGCATGGCAACCCATTCCAGTATTCTTGCCTGGAGAAGCCCCGTGGACAGAGGAGCCTGGTGGGCTGCAGACCATGGGGTCCCAAAGAGTCGGACACGACTGAGCACAGCGCAGACTCTGTCACTTACTAGTTCTGTGCTCTTGGCCATGCCATTTCATTTCCCTATGCCTCTGGTTTCTCAAATGTTAAGATTAAAACCAGTAGGTGCCCTGAAAAATATCTGACCAGTTCACCACAAAACTACCCAGATCATGAAAAACCAGAAAAGACTGAGAAATTATCACAGACCAGGGAAAACCAAGGAGACAAAATGACTAAATGTAATGTGGTGTCTCCGACTAGATTCAGGGACAAAGGACATTAGTGGGAAAACTAGTAACATGTGAACAATGTCTGAAGTTTGATTAATAGTAATGTACCTTAATTTTGACAAATGCACAATGGTATCATAAGATGTTATCATTAAAGGGAA